CAGTACAATCACAGATTCGCGTCTGTCCTGTCTGGTGTGCTGTGCAGTGAGTGCTGCACTTCAGGATGGCTATACTGCATGGTGATGGGGGTTGAGTGCAGAGGGTAAGGGCCGTGGTTTTCAGGGCTGGGTGGGAAGACACTGGTGTTGGAGGCAGCTGGTGGTGTGAGGAACCTGGAAGTTGGGGAAAGTGGGTTGGAGGTGACAGTGGGGCACAACGGAAAGAGTTTTGGGACAAGGGCTGTAGGGGGGGGTGGCGTTTGTGTTTTGCGGTACTGCTCCTTCTGCATGGCTACGAGCTCTTGGATAGCGTCTGCTTGGCGCTCCAGGATGCTTATGAGCCTATCAGTGCTTTGCTGCCGGTGCTCCATGCTTTGCCGCCGGTGCGCTGAGTTTTCTTGGCAGATCCTGCTTTCTCTCTCCCTCCAGTCCTGTGCTTTCTCATTCTCTTTAGTAGATTGCTGCATCACTTCTTGCAGCATGTCTTCTTTGCTTTTTCGCGGTCTCTTCCTGAGTCTTTGCAGTCTCTGAGCAGGCGATAAGAGGGACGGCTGAGGTCTCAAGGTTGATGCAGCTGTATAGGCAAAATGCAGCAGTTAACAGAGGCAGCATTGTTTATACCAGACAGAGTAATGATTCCCCCCGCACTTAAGGAGTAGAAAACACACAGGGTCTACACAATAGCATAATTTTCCCGTCCAAAACAGAGCACACATATCCCACGGGAGCCTCAAAATGGTAAGGGGGACTGATTGTTTCAGGGCTGCTCTGTCCTCTGGGTTTTTGTGCCTTGGGGAGAGTCAACAGCTTCAGGGGACACCTACACTGAACACTGTCCCAACATTTTCCACAGGAGTTCGTCCTGTACGATATCTCGCTGCTGAGGGTGACCTGGGAAGCAAGGGAGGGTCTTCTACTGCAATGCGGCTTCCACCCTGGCCCACATGCAGCTTGCCTGTGTGCAGCAATGGCCCCCTTGCGGCACAGTGGCGCGGACACGTTAGCCTGGCTGGGACAAGGACCACGGTGGCTCTCCTGATAAACCTGCGCAAACGCATTGCACACGTTCTGCATGAGACATTCGAGGAGATTACCAAGGCCGGTTACCGCGATGTGATAAACCACATCAATGCACTATTCCACATCTAGGCCTGCATGCCTAACCCTCCTCTCCCAAAGAGCCCGGACCGAAAAAATTCCTTCCCGGGGAAAAAAAAACCGCTTACCGGGGACCTGCTCTTCTGTTTGTCCTCCACCAAGTACTGGACGCTGCAACTGGCTACCTTCCTCCTGGCTCGAGAAGAGCTCCTGGCTGCATGGCTCCAGGGATTCCGGGGTGTCTCCATCCGGCCCACCACCATCACTCCTGTTTTCCTCCTCCTCTTTCTTTCCCTCCCCTCCCCCCACCAGCTTTGAAGTGTCCCGGGTGGGGCTCGGAGTGGAGGTGGGGTTAACGCCAAGTATCGCATCCAGCTCTTTGTAGAATCGGCAGGTCGCGGGAGAGCACCCGAGTGGCCGTTGTGTAGCGGGCTTTGCGGTAGGCACTCCCCAGCTCCTTCACTTTAATCCTGCACTACAGGGTGTCCCGGTCATGGCCCCTTTCCATCATGTCCTTTGATACCTTCCTGAAGGTATCGTAATTCCTATGGCTGGAGCGCAGCTGGGACTGGACAGCTTCCTCCCCCCAAACACTGATGAGGGTTCGTTTGGCGCGTGGAGGCATGGTCACCTGGAAAGATTTGCTGAGAGCACTCCACACCACGCCGGGCTGAGCAAACAGGAGGGGGATTTTTAAAATTCCCGGGGAATGTAAAGGGCGGGTCACATGGTTGGTTACCTGAGGCCAGGGCAGTAGAGTTTGAACTGATGACCAGAGTGGCTAGAACAGGCATTGTGGGATACTGCCGAATACTTCTGGAGGCCATTCACAGCGCATTGGGCGGCCACACTGGCGCGGCAGCACTGCACTCGCTATTCCTCTCGGAGAGCTGGAGTACATGCAGCGCTGCAAATGCCTTGCCAGTGTGGACGGGGAGTGAGTTACAGCGCTGGGGGAGCCTTTACAGCGCTGCAACTCGCAAGTGTAGCCAAGGCCTTAGAGGTTTTTAAGGTCAGGCTTGACGAAGCCCTGGCTGGGATGATTTAGTTGGGGATTGGTCCTGCTTTGAGCAGGGGGTTGGACTAGATGACCTCTTGAGGTCCCTTCCAACCCTGAGATTCTATGATACACTGCTCTGAGCTGATCCGGTGCTGCAAACAGTTCAGGCCAGTCTCAAGCCAGGGCCTGTCTGGCCTGGGGGAAGGACACGACCAGAAATGGCACCTGATGATGTGGGCACCACGCCTGGATGTTCCTGCCAAAATATTCAGTGCACCAGGTAATGATATTTCCATTACCGCTCTCATTAGGCTTCAGGGCCAACACCCCAGAGCTGGCTGCAGGCTGTTCCCAGGTCTCCGGGGCTCCATTCTGGTCTGGCTGCGCACCGGCAGCTGCCGTGGCCAGCTCATGGCGGGAAGCTTTGCTGTGCAGCCACTACATTGTTTTTAAAACTGCATTTTGTAAAGGTTTAAATGCTGCAGCCAATGCTGAGACAGGAGCCTGGGCCTAGAGCCAAGGTCTCCAAAGTGGGGTGCACAAGAGGATCCTTGGGGGTGCATAGCAGGAGGAGCGCCGCCGGAGCAGCGCCCCTTTTTTTGCTTCGACAGTTCGGCCGGGAGCAGGAGTGCGTGCTCAAAAAGTTTTTACTGATGGGGTGAGCGATCAAAAAAGTTTGGAGACCGCTGGACTAGAGGCCTGGCTCAGTCTGGCCTCTCACCAGATCAGGACCCAGCTCAAGTACCTGACCTTGGCATAGATACGGGGCCGACTTGCTGGGGGACTCGGGAGGAAATCCCCGAGGGCAGGGGCAGCCAGGGACCCCCGTGAGAATGGCACAGCCATACGAAGATGGGGGGGGGAGAGAGAGTCAGACCCTTCGGAAGAGCCGTGGGGTCATCTGCTTAAAGTGCCACATTGTCGGCTCTGCCTGCTGCACTGCACCCTCTTCTTCTGCTGGGGTGGGGGAGCGTTAATTAACTGATCAGTGGGTCAATGAAATAACGTTACCCTCCCCCCCAGCTTGGGAACCATCTCAGAAGATGCTGGGAGCTAGATCCCATAGGTGGGCGTCCTGCCCCATTAAAGTGACTCTGGGCATCTGCGGGCGAGCTCCAGAAGGAGTTAACTCTCTCCTGGCTGGAAACCAGTGTGAGCCTTTCCCCAGTGACACGCATGTGCGGCATCTCCCATCTCGCTGACGCCGGCTGCCAAGCCGAGCGCTGAGCTGTGCCACAGACATTGGCGCCGGGCTCCTCTCACACCACGGCTCTGTCTCCACCCAGGGAAGCTGTTCTGTGCACTGGCCACAAGGCTCTGACTTGTGCCTGCCCAGAGTTAGTGTTTGACACCATTACACATGCTGAACTTCTCAGGCCCCGTGTCCGGCTCACACCCCGGCCAAAGGAAGATGCTGTTCCAGGGGGGAGCTTCTCATTTCTTAGGCCTGATTCACGTCCTGCTGGGCAAGAGCTCAGGGCACTATTATGTGAGATTCATTTCTCACTCTCTGACTTGGCCTGATGCTGTGCAGCGTCATGCTGGGGCTTGTGACGCTCTCCCAGGCGGTGAGCAAAGGAGCAACACTAGAGAGTGGGAGGTTCTCACTGCCACGGCTCTGCCTCCCATCCTGCACCCAGGGAGCTGCACATGTTAAAGTTGCCGACTGAGCTGAATGCTCTACGCTTCCCTGGTCTCCACAGCGTGATTTATCTGAGCCCGAGGTGCCTGTCCTGAGGTTCCCAGTCCCCTTGGCCTGGCCCACGTCCCACCCCGAGCGCGGACAGCTGGGACACAGCACCGTCTCTGCTCTGGCTCGACTCCTCTTCTGTGGACGAGTGTGTGCTGAGCGCTGCTACTGGGGAGATCCAGTGGCTCCTCGTGGGACAGAGCGTGAGATGGGCTGGGGCCCAGCGCTCTGCACACGCACAGGGTGTTTTGCTGTTACCTGTGCTGAGTTTCTCCCTGGTCTTGTGTCTGGCTCTAGCCCAAGGTTTCTCAGGGGTGTGCGGCCCCCTCGCATACAGAGTGCATGATTCATGCTGGATTAGTCAGGGCCTGTCCCGGGCTGCTCTAATGACACTCACAATATGGCCTGTGAGCCTTTCACGGGGGGTGGCTCCCAGCTGGCAGGTCTGGCTCACATCCTGGAGGCTGGCAGCTTTGCTGTGTCAGCTCCATCCCCACGTGCGGCTGCCACCTGAGCTGACCTGCTCCTTACTCACCACCAGCTGTTCCATGTGCTGGGCTCCTCAAACCTCCTGCCTTACCCAGCCCCAGGTAAGCGGAGAGGAGCCCAGTCTGTCTCTCTCCGATCACACCTCCGGCTCTTCTCCTGTGCAGCCAGTGATGCTGGGACTCTGTGAAACAGCCAAAGTCTCTCATTTTTCACATGCTGCCCGGGGGGATGGGGATGGGGATGGGGATGCACGGAGCTGGCTATGTGTATTTTCCCCAGACAGTGCTGCCTCCCTCACTGCTGGTGTGGCTTGGACCCTCCCTCCAAGAAGCAAGCAGCCCGTCACCGTAATCCGTCAGACTCCCAGAGCACGCCAGCGGATGCACTCCGAGTGCCTCACAGCCATTAAGTCATCTTCCCAACATGCCTGCGAGCAGAAAAGAGACCAACACCGATCACTTCCTGCAGCACTGGAATGCAGCCACCTCTGGGCTGGAATGTAACAGCTGTTAGCAGTGCACAGCAGCACTAGGCAATGGTTAATGGGCAGGAAGCAGAGAAGAACGCATTATCCATGGGAAAGGGTGGGGAATTTAGGGAGGCGACTGGAATGGAGCTGGACTTTGCTCACGACACAGTCACCAGGGTTTGTGCCCGTTCCCCTACAGAATGCACCAGGGGATCGCTAATGACCATGAGTGGGCAGGACCTTTGGTTTTACTGCTCAGTTGGGAGATGGCTTCTCTGACACTTTGGGGGTTACCCGAGGTGCCTGGGGTGACTCAGCGGGAGGGAGCTCTGTCTGTGCCCCCAGGGGAAACACTCCCCAGCCACAGGTAACAAGCAACACACGCACTCGGCTCTTTTCCACTGCAAGTTACCCCCGCACTTTGCTGCATGGGCGGTGTCCAGTGCTAAGCACTGCAAGAACTCACGGGGGGGGGGGGGGGAAGCTTGTCAATAAGTACAGACCGTAGAGTGCATCTTAGGTTTTACCTTTACCTGTAACCTTGTGTTTCCAAACCCATCTCGTGGCTGGTATTTGAATCTCTCTCTCGCTCTGTTACTAGAAAACTGTCTAAGCGCCTTGTGCTAAGGAGGCTGTTGACCGGAGGGGTACCCAGTGAACTGGGGTGCCCTGTTTCCATGGAGGCAGCAGACTGATGTACATTGTGGGTGTCCATGAGATAAGGCACCGGGCACTCGGGTGTAACAAAGTGGGGTGTATAAGTGTGATGCAGTAGGGAGTGGGGTGGACTGACCTGAGAATGTCGTCTAGTTTTACTGGGACTGTCTGCATTGGGGATGGGATAGCCGGGGATGATTTTACGTGAGAGTTACCTGAGCTAGGAGGAGGGTGGTGCCAGGTGACACCTTTGCCCGGGGAAACTGGACAAAGGGAGGGGAGGAGCTGGGGGAAAGGGGAGCGAGACTGCTAGAGGGGGTTTTACTTTCAGTTTGGGCTGGATGGTGAAACGCAGGGAACCCCAAAGCTGGGGTCTAAGCTCCCTAACCCTCCCTGAAGGACTTGACTGAGGGGTCCTGGTTGTACCTACACGCTCTGCTTGGGACTGTGTTCCTGTCATCTAATAAACCTTCTGTCTTACTGGCTGGCTGAGAGTCACGGTGAATCGCAGGAAGAGGGGTGCAGGGCCCTGACTTCCCCCCACTCCGTGACAATAAGTTACTAGCCTGCAGAAGGACAGGGTGCCGCTCGGGGAGCCCAGAGCAGAGCGCTTGTGTTCATAGATCCCAAGGCCAGAAGGGACCATTGTGATCATCTGTCTGACCTCCGGTATCGCACAGGGCAGCAACCTGCCCCACCATGATGCCCAGTACAGAGCTTTTAGAAACACATCTGATCTTGTTCTAAACACTGCCAGTGATGGAGAATCCACCACAACCCTTGGGAACATGTTCCAGTGGCTAATGACTCTCCTCCTCATTTCCAGTGTGAATTTGTCTGGCTTCAATTTCCAGCCATTGGATTGTGTTGGACCTTTCGCTGCTGGGCTGAAGAGCTGTTCTCCAGTGTCTGTTCCCCATGGAGATCACCCCTGTTACCGGCAGCCAGTGGCTGGGGAGAGTTTCCTTGGGTGGGGCACAGACAGGGGTCCCTCCTGCTGGGAGCAGGCAGAACTGATTCACCCTAGACACCTCGGGTAACCCCGAAACAGCCTCACCGCATCTGTAACTGCACAGTGGGTCTGTGCCGACGCAGAGCTCAGAGCGCCACCTACTGCCTAACTAACACCCCTTCCTCCAGTACAAGCTGTTGGTTGGCACTCCGGCATCCAAATACTGCCACATACTCCTGGCCCAAACGCCCAGGGCTGTACAACGGCAGGTCCTAGTATGACAGGGTGGGGGGAGGTAATACCTTTTATTGCACAAGAAACAAGCTGTTGTGCTTACGCAGAGCTCTGCAGGGCTGGGTCAGGTACGCGGAGTGTTCTGAAGACCTTTGTGTTCCAAGAAAAGATCTTCCCTCCCCCACCTTCTCTCGCTCATACCCTGGGACCGACACCACCGCATACAGGTCACAGGATGGTCAGCTTAGATGCCCTGAGCTGCCCCACTCGCAGAGAGAGTTGTACTGTTGAGTTTCCCATGGATTCTGTCCAAGTCGCGTCCTCTGGACCCTACACTGCTCCTGCCTCGCGTCCTACCTGCATGGCTCTGGCCTGCTCCCAGGAAGGCCCATCTCCTCCTCTGCCTTTCGCTCCTCTCTAGAGAGTCAGCCCAGCCCCAGAAGAGGGGCAGGCACTGGGGGCATGTACAGTCATTCCACAGGGCGACTGGACTATAGGGGCCAATCCTGCAGTTGCTCCGCATCCAGATCTCCTATTGACCTCAAGGAGAGGGGGAGGTACAGACCCAAGCTCCTTGGATCTGAACTGTGCCTTAGTACAGCGCCGTGCGCACACAATCAAAGGGGTGTCAGTCTCACCTTGCGCTCCAAGGAGCTCATGCTTCCCACGAGGGGTGGATGGAGCTGGGGCTCGGTAGTCCCACCATTTCTGTGGGAGACCCATGAGTTTCTACAGATTAGCACTCACACTTGCAAGAAAACCTTCCGCATGGGACCCAATGCAGGCCTGAGTCTGCAGGCAGACTGGAACACTAGCTCTGAAAGGCAGGAGTTGCTCCATTCAGAGCAGCAGCATGTTAACTCTGGAGCCTAGCGATGACACTATGGCAACATGTTAACTGTATCACTCCTGGTCAGTTTCGCCAAAACACCCAGTGGCTCTGGGATTGTGGACGGCACTTGAGTAGAATAGTGCCACTTTCCCCCTTGCTCTGCCCACTCCCAATCTGAGCCCTAGCTCTCAGCCCATTGGAATGGCCCATCCAGGGGTGGCTCTTGGTGTCCGAACTAAACCGGAGTGTGTCACCCTCCCAGCCAGGACCAGCTTCCGGCTCTCACTTTAGTTCCAGCTGGACTGCAGTCTCTGGCAGGGAAACTCCTCTTGCTCCCCCAAGTACTAACGAGACTTTAGCCTTAAATGCCTTTTGCTTTAGCTGCCAAGTTCTTTTTCATAGACCTGATGTTCCTGATAGGAGACTCCCCCACTTGTCCAGCGCCCTGGGGCGGTGCCCACAGTTATTTCTCCTTTTCAGGTTACCTTTTGGCTCTCCACTTATCTCCTGGATCTCAGAGAACATCAATCCCAGAACTCTGCTATGCCCAAGGAAGGAAGGGCTGGAAGGGGAGTACTGCGGGATGGGGGGCGGGGGTGGAGGAAGGGTTTAAGGGAGGATAGAGTGCCTGACTGCTAATCTAGAAGGATCCCACATGTTCTCAGGCTTCTCCTCATTAGCCTGCACTCTGCGCGTGACCTTTCCATAGGAAGCTGCCCTCTGTTAATGACGCAGAGGCTCCAGATTGCATTTTCTGCTCTCAGGATGCTGCCAAGCAATAGGGTTGTTAGCCAGAGCTTGGCGTTTTGTAATAAATCTGGCTGAATTCAGAGGAGGGGGAAAGGGAGGGGGTTGAGGAGGGGAAATCGCCAGACTCACACGGAGGGCAGATGAGAAAGAAAGGGGAAATACCTCTGCCACAGAAACACCAAAGCAGTGTGTACCACTGATGCACCTGGACTGCCACTGGAATGGCCGTAGCTGTGGGTAGCAGCTGTTGGAGGGGCCAGCAGCGCGTGGCAGACCTGCTGAGCCACAAGGGCAGCCCCGGCTCGGCTCGGCTAACGACTCCTGTGCTGGGGCAGGCCGGGAGACTCACTCCCCCCCGCGCTCATGGGAGATGCCATCTCTGCCAGCTGCACGGTGGGTCGCTCCTCTCCGCTCTAGTACTGGAGCAGAGGGTCTCAAACTGGGGGGTGCCCCGTTGGGGGGGATGCAGAATGTATTCGGAGGGGGGGCACGTGAGACGCTTTAGGAATAAAAACACGTACTGTGCACGTTTTACCCACAGCAATGAATAAGCAGCAACGCTGATTCCTCCAGACAAATCAGTGGGGGGTCTACTTCCATTGAGAACTCACCCGTTTTTCCTGGTTGGTCAGGGCATAAAGAGCAAATGTTGTGGATGCGTTCTACACGCCACCCTTACTTCTGCGCGGGGTTGGCGGTGGCACTGCCTGCAGAGCTGGGCGCCCGGCCAGCGGCTGCTGCTCTCCAGCTGCCAGATCTGCAGGCAGCGCCGAAGTAAGGGTGGCAATACCATGACCCCCCCCCACACACAATAGATTTGTGACCCCCTTTTGGGTTGGGACCCGCAGTTTGAGAAATGCTGGTTTACATCAAAAACAAACAATGATCTTGTCTTCGGGTACCAGGGGATCTCCGGGGAGCTGTCTCCAGCATCCAGCCCAGAATGGAATTGCTCTGCTCCAAAACCCAGATGCACCCGGCACACTAGTAACAGCGGTGTGGTGGCAGGAAGTAGGGTTTCACTGAACTCTGCCGTTGCTCTGTAGTTAAAAGACGCTGTTTGAATCAATGCCTTAGTGTTTTTAATATTTAGTGAGAGTTGCATGTTGACTATTTTTTTATCGGCCTATCTACTTGTGTGTGTGTGTGGGGTGGGGGGGGGGCGGAGGCAGTAAGCTACTACAGACCACGAAGGGGGCAGGAGCCAATACGTTTGAGAACCACGGGGCAACGGGTGCGAGGGGGTATTCGCAGGGCGGCTCATTGCGGAGGCCTCTGTGCCGAATCGTGATACTAAAGCCTAGACCCTGCAAGGAAGCAGCTGCCCCTGTTCCCCGCCCCCCGTGGCTCACCAAACCTGGTGACAAACTGCTGTTTAGGGACATGGCTTCCCTGCACCTGGTCTCAGCCCCCTCCTGCACCCACTCGGCTGGCCCTCCCCAGCTGGGCTTGGAGATACCTGGGGAAGGGTGATAGACCCCCAAGTTCCTGGGTTGTCCCGTCAACATGCTGCACTCTGCACATAGGGGGACTGGGCGGGATGGGCAGGCCCAGAAACACTCGCTGCTTGGGAGGGTGAATGGAGATTTACTGTGGCTGGATTAAAGCCATCACATGCAGGCACTTCCCCAGTTGCCTCCTGAGCCCGCCTGGGTAGGGCTCTCCTCTCTGCACAGGGCTCACCCACGTCGCCCATCAACCCCTCCCTGCTGGACCCCAGCAATGCCGTCCATCTGGGCACGAAGCCTTCAGCACTTAGGAAACGCCAATGAGTTCAGAACACGGCAGTTCGTCTCCTCAGGAACCCAGGCTACCGCGAGCACATCGACCCCGTCCTCCCCCCCGCACACGGCCGTCCCATAGAACAGAGTCAAGTTCATGGTCTCAGTCCTTATCTCCAAGCCTGGGCACAGAGAATCAAGAAGATTGACTAAGGCTCCTGGAGGAAGGCTTTGGTGGACAACGTCACTCCTCTGGCACCATGGAATGAAGATAAAGCTCATCTGTGTGAGAAACAGAACTTCCTCTGGGGCCGGGGCCAGTCCCAGCCTGTGGAGCAAACTCCCCCCGGGACTAAGGACAATCCTACACCTCCCCACCTCCTGCTCCACATGCCAGAGGCATTCCTTGACTTTGTCTTCTCTAATATACAGATAGCAATGCGTGCGTGTGTGTGTGTGTGTGTGTGTATTAAAACAATCCAAACCCCAGCACTCCCCTGCACACACATCTCTTCCCAGGGAGAGGCAGAGGGAACAAACCCATGACAGATGTTAATGCATGGCTGGGAGGTGCTCAGACCCTGCGGTGATAAGTGCAATGCGAAGGTAGAACAAAGACACACACACACATCCCACCTTGCACTAGGCTCCTCTGATTCACCAACAGCTTCCAGGGAAAGGTTCAGTCGACCCCTCCACGCCCCTGTCAAGCACTGGGGGGCTCTTGCCACAATGAGCAGCTCCCCACACGGCCCAGACACCTCCCGTTCTAACGAAGACGTCACACTGCTTTCGCGCTGCCTCTGGGATCTGAAGATTGCCAGGCTCTGCATGAATAAATACCACTGAATGTCTGACCTCACGCCTCCATGGCCCTACATCACGTCCTTGTGCAAACAGCACCCTCAGCACTTCCCATGACAGTGCGCTCAGAGTCCTTTTAAACCTGCGATTTTATGGAAAAAAAGTTTTGATTCTGGTCCTGGAATCTCCAGCACTTGTGTGATTGCCATGGGGGGGTTTCCAGTCACAGGCTAAGCTCCCATGTGCTGATGGAAAAAGCCCTGACTTCAGGGTCCCGTCGCTCCTGTCCGTGTTTGGGGAGCCAGGACTGATGGTGCGGGTATTGGCAGTAGGCTGGGACTGTTGAATTGGCGCAGGGGTTGGCATTTGTCTCTGGATCCCAATTCTTCTAGTGCTAACTCCTCGCCAATGGCTGATTAGTGCCCTAGAAGTGCCAGTCAGCCTCTCAGGCACTGGACTAGCGGCTGTGCTGCTCTCTGGTGGCAGCTACCATTGATTTTCAGGCTAATACTCCAATAGCCGAGTCTGTATCCAGCTACTGGCATCTCCATCTGCTTCATCGCGTTGGATTCCTCAAGCCCGAGAGCTTCTTTGCCTCTGTGCTGCTTTGCCCCGTGGGCTGGGACTCCGGCTCGGTTCCCAGCTGGAGCACTCGGAAGGAATTAGAAGATGCTGGTGAAGTACTTCACTTTAGTTTGCACCCGTTCAGCTTTCAGGCTTCACCGTATAGACAGGATCCTCTCCCCGTCTCTCTTCCACAGCATAAATTGTGCCCTCCCAACACGATCTGAATTCCCCTGGGTCAGGCAGGTTTCTTAGCAGGCCTCTGTCTCCTGGGGGCAAAACAGCACTAAGATCTCCCCGCTCCTAAGACACTTTTCTTCTTGATGCTGATTTTCTACTATTTCCCCACCGTCATTTCCTGGGCCACCAGGCTGTGGAGCTGGCATGCCTGTTCTCCTCCTTGTTCTGTACAAAGTAAAGCAGCGTTAGCGATGGAGACCAGCCGTGCCGCCAGAGAAGTGGAGAATAATTTGCACCGCTTGGTTTATAGAGTCCTTCCACGGAGACCGCTGCTCCCCAGTGCCCAGACAGTCGCTTTACCAATAGTGCCCCAGTGTAGCTTTCAACGGGATTGCCTTGTAGATCGGTGGGTGGCAGGGAGCTGCGTATCTCACCATGTGCACACAGCCTCTTGAACAGCTGATCCTCAAACGCCTTCCCCTGGTCTCAGTGGATCTTTTTAATGGGAAGGAGAAAGCCTCAGTATGTTTTATAAGCAGCTGTTCCGCCTGATTTATTGGTTGTTGGGCAGGCCTTCGGTAGCTGAGTTGGGCTGTTATCACTGCAGTGGATTCACTCCCCACCCGCATCCTGTCGACATGGAGATACTCAGTGTGGAGGAGCGGCAACGGGGTGCTGTGGGAATGCTTTGCATGGGCGCTTTTCCTGACTAGAGGGTGTTTGCCATTTAATGCACACACACATTGCTAATATAATGATCTCCTTCTTCCTCCTCCCCCAGAGCCAAGAGACCCTCTCTCTTATTGAATGAAATCCACGGTCACTCCTGAAGTGAGCCCTGTTCTCATGTAAACAGTGTCAGCCCAAGGGCCCATGTGGTTCACGTAGCACACACTGGTGTTTGAATCCTACCAGTCTGTATAGCAATTCTCCCTTCCTAATCCTAACTCTGCCCTAGTCTTGTATCAGGTGTCTTATAGCCAGGTTCTCCTCATACCTCAATGTCCTGCTGAGCTCCTCAGCTAAACTGCTCCCTCAGGGTAGGGCTTTTCTCCCCCCCGCCGTATCCTACCAACTGGCTAACGGGGAGGGGGAGAGTGAGGGGCATCAGCCCTTCCTTCTTCCTTTTCAGGGACCCAGTGAACTTTCCCCTCTTGCTGGGATTGTATATATCAATCATGAGCATCCCCTGAACACTCCTGGGTGCTCTGCAATATCTGTCCCTCCATATTCAGGGATGTCTGGGGAAGGACGTCTGCACTGATGTTGGCTTTCCCAGGCCTCTTTCTGCAAACCAAAATTTGCTAGTTCTGGCACCCACCAATAGTCCGGGCCATTGAGCTTTGCCATAGTGATGACATATGTGATGGGGCTGTTGTCTCTGTAGATGAAAGAGGGTAGAGTAATAGTAGAAACACACCCTAACTTGTCCAGAAGCAGCCCATTTCAAAGCCAGGCTTCTAAGTGCCCTGACTGCAAGCTGTAGCGCTTTCTTGCATGGGTAAGTGATCGTGACCTGTAGACTGTTACAAGCTATCCCCTGGCCACTGACACAGCATTGCACTAGCCCCTTGGAGGAAGCTCTGGTGTGCAAAATAAATGACTGGTTGAAGTGGTGGTAGGTAGTGACGGGAAGTTGTGTGTGCCTGTAAACTGTTCACCAGATGCCCCAAGGTCTCCTACTGGGTTTCTGTCCCATGGACTTTCTGGACCAAAGGTAAGTGTAAACGTCTCCTTTTCCTGTCTTCGGACTCTTCTTCTATTCATTAGGTCCTTTCAAAAACTCACAAAAGGGTTTAGCAATGCAATAAATCAATGTCCTGGCCTCGTGGGAGTAGCCCAGGACATCGATTAGGGTTTGTATCTCTTGGGCTCTTCCTGGTCTCTTTTGCTGCACACTTTGAATGTCCATCACATCTCAAGGGTCAGCTCCAACTCCTCCACTCTGTATAAAACTCCCCAGGAGTCAGGCTCTGTATGGATGTCATCAGACATACCAAGATTTAATTTGACCCCATAGCCTTGCAATCTCTCAAGTGCTTTTCTTACATCTTCCATGCATTGGTCCAACCCCTTGTTATGTACCAGGATGCCATTTAAAAATGAAAATCACATTTCATTCCAGAAAGCCCTCAGGCACTCATCCCACCAACACTAGAAAACTGCTGGTGTATCTGCCAACCCAAAGGGAATGCAAGTGCACTCAGGGTCCCCGTGGTGTCACAAATGTAGTCAGCCTCTGGGCAGCCTCACCCATGAACCCTTGGGGATAAGCTTTACCTTGATTAAGTCCACTGCCTCCCAAAAGCCATCTGGTATTGGTTGGGTTCTGGGTAGCGGGTATCTGGTATAGATTGATGGTGTAATTCTCCATAACCAACACACAATCTCTTTGTCCCAGCTGTTTCCCATGCACAAGCCCCCCCATCTCCCCCACTCTCATTAGAAGGGATTTCCAGATGCAGAACCATTTCTGAGGATTAGCCAGGGACAAATTGTCTCTTCGTTCTCTTGCCACTTACTTGTTTGGAGGTTGTTCATTTTAAGGCCTGAGTCATCAGTAAACAGTGGAGAGTGCCGTGTGGGTGGGGGAACCTTGTGGAGTCCAGGGAGAGAGCTGTGCAATCAGCAAAGCATCAAATCTCTGAAAGCAGTGGCCGGAAGCAACGAGCCAAATATTTAGATTCAGTGAAGTATTGGCCAATTACAATATTTTTCCTTATAGAAAAAATTTACAAGCACATAAAAATAAATATTTGAGAATACAATATACCAAAGCACTGAGTCACTTGCAGCTCTAAATCTTTTGCCCATTTTCCATCCCCATCCATCAGGCAAGCAGCTTCCCCATTTACGGTTTGGAAAAGGGATCTGCTGTTAATGAGCTACTCGGTAATGACGCTGGATCCAAAGTACATTCACAGATCACAGGTTGCTTGAGTGACGGGCATCCAAGATGCACGGCAACGCTGTGGCTGAACCCAGCAGGGAGCATCTCCTGCTTTGGGCAGCCAGAGCAGGGCTGCCGTGGAAATCCACAGGAAGTAGTCCAGGAGCTTTGTAACATTGGAAGCCCGGGAGACGTTCTGGTGCACAAAGAGCCCTGCACAGATGCATAGAGCAGCCAGAGAAGTACCAGACTGAAGAGGAGGTGGCCGGCCGGATCCTGTGGAGTCCTTCAGTGCAGCACACACTTTGCCACTGGAGATGGAGGAAATGAAAATAAGTGACTTCTGTCTAAGCTGTTACCACAGATTCTTCCCTCTCCCTATGTCCTTGCCCAGTGTCGTCCTGTGATGGCCAGGAGACAGGGACCCATCAATAAATAACGATAGTGCAGTTTCCACTAGGGCCTGTGGGGAAGGGCTGTGGCTGCCCTTTCCCTTGAGATCTTTCCTCCTCTCCTGCTCTCAGTCCTGTGGTCTGTAATCTCAGCATGAGAGCGCCAGTCCCACCTGACTCCAGTCCTTTCTCTGGCACTGCCACGCATGCACAGTCCCTCGGCCTAGCTCTGTGCATAGGCAGCAAGCCAAACACGGGGATTTCATGTTTTTCTGTGGAGCTTTGGTGGCTTTTACAGCATGTGGCCAATTTCCTGTTTTCTGTGAGATCTGTGAACGCAATACAGATGGCAGGGCTAACCAGTGAGCAGCACTGCCCAGTGATTCGCAGTTACACAGCCGGCATCCTGAGCAGGGTTATTAGCACTGACAGGGAGCTCAGCTCTGCACAAGTCACAGAAGCTCTGTTCTCTGCTCTAAGAAGCTAAAGAGCCAGAATTTAGAGGGATTCAGTCAAGGGGGAAAACAAGTACCAGCCCACTCATTGTATAAATGGGAACTGGGGGGAAGGTCCCAGCAGGAGGTAACAGCTGATGATGGGAAAGGAGGACTGCTGAGAATTCAAGAGAAAGAGGATGGCAGAAGATAGCAAAGGAGAGACTGCCACCAGCAGAGAGACAGCCCACTCAGCTCCTGCAGGGGGGATCCTAGCGTAGAGATGCTTCCCTTGCAGCTGAGAGGGAGAAGAGAGGCATTGTGAAAAGCAGACAAACCCTTGAGACACAGACTTTCTCTCCTGGAACCAGATTTCAGCCGGGCATCTCTCTTCTGAAAGCAGTTTGAGGGAAACCAGTGGGACGGAACACAAGCAGGAAGGCATCTCAGTTCAAGGAGTGGAGCGGTGGCCTTCATGCCCTGTTGAGGCTGTATATTTAAAGCCAGCTAGAGCCCTCGGAGGCACTTCCAGCAGCAGCTCACCGCTGAAGGGCCTAAAGGGGCACTAGCTCCAATGGGAATCTCTCTCCTGAGGTTCAGGAGTGAGGCCCCCAGGCAATTCCTCATCGAAGGGTCAAAGGCTGATCTAGGCAAAGGCAGGCTGGGTTTGTCACCCTCCAGAGGGGGAATTTATGGATCAGGATAGCCCGAGACAGTGATTTGAACTGGACTTATTGGGGAAATACAGGGTCATTAGCATGGGGTTTTTCCTTCACATGTTAAATGGTGCTGTGGTTAATCAGCAATAAGGCCATGAGTGCTGTAAGGTCTGAATGTATTGTGTACCTGGGGAACCAGAGCTCCGGAATGAAACCTGCTCTGCATTGCTGGGAGGGGGGGGGGAGGGACCTTCAGATGGGAGGGCCGAATGCAGCAGGGGAGGCCCGCAGGGGGTCGACCAACCTTTCAATGGCAGTGTGTATATTTCTCAAATACTTCGGCTTATGCCACAGGTTTATGCACCCACCCCCCACCTCAGGGCAAAGTTAGCAGCCGTGGCGAGGCCAACCACAGGGACTAGCTATGGACAAGCCATTGCACCCTGTAGTCCCCCCCAGGAAAATCAAAGGGCCCCCTCCACTATTTGGCACCACCTGGGTTAAAGCACTTCTGGAGACCAGCCGGATTAGCACAGGGCAGGACCAACCTTTCCTTAAGCCAGGGAAAGGGCTGGGGCACGTTTGCTTTGTTTTGCTGAGCCAGCTCTAACATGGCTTGGCCCAGCTCACATGAGGAGCCCTGTGCCACACTAGCGTGTCTCAGGGTTCTCACTCCTCCTGGCTGTTCTGGGGATTAGTCTGACGCCTCACCTTGTGGTCTCTCCCCCCATTGTCCTCTCTCTCGCTCTGCAGCCCTCCCCACTCCTCCAGGAGCTGCAGCTTCCTCTTCCCGACTCAACCCTCTGGCCAGCTCACTATGGGGTTCCCCTTCCAGGGTAGAGAGTCACATTGGACCCACTGACCAGGCAATGCCACTCCTTCAGTGGCTGGGAGAGGACCCTGGGCCCACCCATTTCTCTGGGGTCCAGCCCAGGGACCCTACAACATGCAGCCAAGGTCTGTTTAGTCCCCAGTCTGACTGCTCACTCTCTGGGCTGTTTCCTACTCACCTCTGACAGGCTCTCTTCTCCACCCTGCCCTCAGGGCCAGGCTCCCAGGGTCCTACTCTTTCCCTGGGTTCCCTCCTTCGCTCTCTAATGCACAGAGGGTGGCTGCAGACTTCCTCACTGCAGCCCTTTCAGTTGCCAGCCCACACCTGCTCAGCTGAGCTTCATCCTCCAATCAGGGGTCCTGCCTCTAGTCTAATCCCCACATGTGGGACCTATCACATTGACCTGAGCTTCCTTAACCCTTTCAGGGTTGGGGGTGGGGAACATCCCATCATATAGCCTCAGCAGTGCTTTAACACAGTCTTGAGGGGCCTGAAAGGAGCGCATTCCCTCCAGGTGCAGATGCACAAAAAATCCTGCTCAAACAGCAACAGGAAGGTGTGTGTGGGGTGGGGTGGGGTGGGGGAGTGGCCTTTTAACAGGCAGTGGGACATAAGAGCTGCGATACTGGATCAGACCGTGGTCCACCTAGCCCGGTATCTTGTCTCTGATAATGGCCGATACCAGAGCTTCAGGGGGAGTGTGCAGAAGAGGGCACTTATGGAGTGAGCCCGCCCTGCCTTCCAGTCCCAGCTTCTAGCAGTCAGAGGTTAGAGTCTCTCGGAGCAGGGGGTTGCATCTTGGCTAGTAGTCCTTAATGGACCTATCCTCCATGAACTGATCCAGTCTTTTTTTAAACCCTTTGTACTTTCAGCCATCACAACATCCGGTGCCAGTGTGTCCACAGGTTAGTTGTGCGTTGTGTGAAAAAATACTTTCTCTTGTTTGTATTAAACTTGCTGCATCTTAATTTCATCAGGTGACCCCGGATTTTGTATTGTGTGGAGGGGTAAATAACACTTCTCTATTCACATTTCCCACACTATTCCTGACTGTATAGACCTCTAGCGGATCGCCTCTTAGTCTCACTCTTCTACGCTGAACAGCCCTAATCTTTTTAGGCTCTTTGCGTGGAAGCCATTCTAGACCCTTGATCATCTTTGTTGCCCTTCTCTGAACCTTTTCCAGTTCCACTATATCATTTTTGGGATAGGGCAATGTGGTGGGGTGACGACTCACCGGTGCAGCGCCTCCTGCTGGTCGTCTCAGGAATTACCTCTTTCCATCCCAGAGCGCCCTCTGCAGGCCGGTATCTTGCCTGCCGCTGGCCCCCGTGTTCCTCCCGGACCCAGTGCCCTTCTATGTCTGGGTTCTGCCTCCCCCCCCCCCAGTAACCCACAATTTGGGTCTCCCCACCTAGGGGAACCCCCAACCCTCTATCCCCACCTTGTCTCAGTGGCTACTGCCAGTCATCATCTAGCCCCCGCTCCCTGGGGCGGACTGCAGTCTGTAAACCACTCGTCATCGGCAAGGGAGGTTGGACCAGCGGCCTCTGCCTACCTCTGGGCTGCCCCTCTGCAGCCCCTGTACCTTTTGTGGGCCCTTAACTAGGCCTGCAGCCTGGGGGTTTGTCAGGCTGGAGCTCCCCAGCTCCCTCTGCCCTTCCCCAGCCCTGCTCCACCTCAGGTACCTTGCTCAGCTCCCAGGCAGCCGGGTCCTTCTCTCTCAAGGAAGCTAGAGAGAGAGTCTGTCCTTTCCTTCTGGCCCACCACCCCCTTATAAGGGTCAGCTGGGCCCTGATAGCACTGGCCACAGCTGTGGCCGCTTTCCCAATCAGCCTAGCTTCTCTCCGCCACAGCCCTCTCCAGGGCTGCTTTAACCCCCCCCGGGCCGGAGCGGGGTGGTCACCACACTACAGGCAACCAGAGAAAGACACTGTATCTGTTATGCTTATAAGAAGCACACGGGATCTTATTCAGGGGAAAAGGCAAGAGGCTGCGTTTATTGGAGATACAACAATTAGCATATGCATTCAATCACACACACACACACACACACACACACACACACACACACACACACACACACACACACACACACACACACACAC